CGTTATACAATTAATCTAATCTATTATTATTTGACTGCACGGATGGCGTAGTTGCTTAGGCGGTCGCTCGGTACTACGCTGAGTGTTGTGGGTCCGATCCACACATGGGAGGACACTTTGTGTGATTCACAAATTGTTGTTCTGAGTCTGGGTGTTCTTTGTATTCATTTCATGTATGTTTGTAAAGTACCCTGCGACACAGGATATATGCCTAATGCGGGATTTAGTATTTTAGAAACAAAATAAATGTCTATATTTAGTAATATATAAGTAGGTTTCTTAATAGTCTGGTTACCATCGTACAGATTCTACTTAGTTATCGATCAGATGGCCGTGTGTGGGATGTGTTTAGTCATTATTTCCTAAAACTATTTTTATTCTGTAGCTTTTTATATTTATCTCTCGAAGCTATTTTGCTATAATGCCAGCCCAATATAACTTCGATTACAAAAGAAACGACAAGCTGGTATTAAAAATGTTTATCAGTTACTCGTAGCATATCAGGAAACAAAAATCTTATTCACTCCAGCGCTATAAAAGAAAGAAAAGGCTTAACTATCTAGCTAAAATCTCCTTACGTTTTCCACTCCCCTCAGATTTAAAGTATCATAAGATTATCTAAGATTGTCTCAATGAAGTCTGTTTTGATGTTATTTGGCAATATTATTTTTAGGGCAGTAGCTTATTTACTTGCATTTGGTTCAACAGCAGTAGATTCTCACCGTTAGCTTTGCCTAGAGAAAATATTTACATGTAGGTACGCCTTTGAAAGTTCAGCTGCATTCGCAGATTAGGCTCGAGCTACTCTCTCCTTAAAGAGCTTTGGATTTTTTGAAGTTGCACAGGGGACAACATTCTGTACAAATTTATTTTGTAAGTCCAAATCGTTTATTTTCAGTTTTGCTTTCAGTCTTCCTTAAATGGATATGTTTTTGCATTTCTGGTATTGTTTTGTTTATTGGCCGAAGTTTGGTAACCGAACATATAGTTTTTATAATATTGATTATTCTTTAAAAGTTAGCTTTTAGTCACGATTAGATTATTAATTATGTAACTTCCAACAACATGCTAAAATTCACAATAAATAGGTAACATCCAAACAGGAAAACTTGATAATGTTTAATTGTTAAAGTAATTGTTTTATTATTAAAATAACAATCAGAATTATTTTCCTTTCCTTAAATTCCAAAAAGAAAAATTGCTTTTAGATTTTTTTACTGCTCATCAAGTCCATTGATTTAATCATTGTAACTAATGAATATACATATATATCAATCTCTGTATCCGAAACTGGCATAGGCGTAGTAAGCACCCAAATTTTGCTGACTATATGGTCCGACTCACGTTATAGGCGGTAAGCCCATGGCTAGCATAGAACTATAAGATTGAAAATTTGGGAATGTATGAAGTCAAAAGACTTGCAAGAAAAAAATATTTAGTTGATTCTATACTTATTTGTATCAATTGAGGAGTTTTATAGTATGCCAAAACCTCCTTTCTAACGAAAGGCTTACGTCCAGTAGTGGACTATTAAAGTCTGTTCATATAATGTGTGATGTAATGAGTGTAAACAATACCGCGAGAATTTAATAAGAACATAAATTACGACTATATTTATTTATTCTAATGAATATGAAAGTTGTTGCAAAGTGTATTTCTGTTCGAACTCGTTTATGTATCCTGAACTCTCTATAGATAAAATAGTGTAGAAGAACCTAGGAAAAGCTATGTATTTTATTCGACGTTAACATAAGATTTGCTGTAGTTGCCTTTACCTTGAAGACTGCCTTTTAGTAAAACATTTTGCAAAGCTCAGTATTACTGTACAGTGCTTTTTAAATGTCTTGGCTTTAGTTTCATAAATAGAGCTTGAATATTACATTTTTATTAATTTGTATTTACATAATTCCAGGCTCGCTTTTGACTAAAATAACAGGTTGGTTTATTTATTTGGTTATGGCATATGGTTATTTGTGGTGCTATCGTTCCTTGTTTTATATCCGAATATTTGTATTTGGTATGTTGAATTCACTCTTTATCTGTTCGTCTGCCCCCCTCTAATATAAAATAAAAACATCTTGAACGAATGCCAGCACAGTTTCGCCAAATATGGGTCGGCTCGACCGGCACCACGAGTGATACCACGGTCTCACAGAAAATAGGTTATAATTCATTCTTTCTTTGCTATTCGCTAAGTGAATGACTTTACAGTAGGCCCAACCTCCCAAAATAGAAAAAAGAACTCAAAGAACGTAAACATACTTGTATCTTCTAAGTTAAAGATGTCTATGAACGGCTTTAGTTACTCATTATAATGAGATGATCCTTCTGCTCGGTTTTTCTTAATGAAAATGGGAGGCCTAATATCATTTAGAAAATTAACTTTGTAGAAAAGTATTGTTCATTGAGTTTTTCTTGATGATATATGTATAATAAGCAAATACATGGTAATGTATTTATCATCATATTTCCTCCTCTCCCTAGAAAGGAGGTTTTGACCTACTATACCACGCTGGCTAGACCAGTTTGTATAGGGTTTGTGTCAAGTATTCCTTCTCTTTACAGGGCTGTTGCCGTGCGTAGTTTGCTCCCTTGGTCGCCATACGTCCGTACAAAAATACTGAACATCTCATTTTTCTTAAAGATAAACTGTGTAGAAGTTTCCAACAAACTTATCAGAACAAAAAAAGCGGCACAGAAAGCAGTTTCAAACTTACTTACTTTTAAGTAAACTGGGACATGGAAAAATGAAACTGAACAAAAACTAGCGAACAACTACGAATTCGTGTACTGTCTGGTAAGGAAATATGTTTCTATGGTCATTCCGAACAGTAAATATAAAATTGTTAGCATATGAATTACGGAAGAAATCCGCTGTCTCATCCCAAATAGTTAGAGCCTGTACTACAGCAACCAGTCAGTTAGTTTATCAATCTCAATAGCAGAAGTAGCCCAAGATCTACTTACAGAGTATAGAACAGTTAACACTAAACGCTATTCATATTTCTAGTACAAGTATCACGAGAATTCAAAATGAGTTTATTATCCAAATCGTTCCCGAGAGCACCTCACATATAGTTCTAATAAATCTCAGAGTTTCACTCTTTCAGACTCTCAATATTAATGCTGATTATGTTGAAATAGATGTTTCCGATAATTATATGGATTTGAAGTACAAACTATTCAGATATAGTCATTTGAATTCCTAACGTACGACTACCATAGACTACAAGACTATACTTTGTCCATCTCGAGAATCGACATTTGAAGTTTATTTCCTGTTATTTTTTAAAGCCAAGCCAGTTGCATTCCTCAAGTACTCTACAGTACAACAATGTCATCTATTTTTCTAAACATAGAATATAAGTTTATAATGACAAAAGATATTTCTCAAGTGATAAACGGATTTACTCACGTGTGTATTCCGAAAATGAACGACTATGTTTGCAGCGGTGTTTCTCTAGTGCACAGAGTCCCCTCTGTGCACCTCAAGCTAGTGGTCTCCTTATGCCGTGGGACTTTGTATTTACTTTTAACCAAGTTTTATGATGCTAGACGAATTTAAGGTACCTTATATTATCATATATCTTACCTATATGATTTGACTAAATTATAATTCATTTGATTCCGTTAGCTTAGAAGATGTTTTACAAATTTACAGTGAAAACTTTTTAAAGTGAAAAATTTACAGTGAAAATTCATTTGATATCTCTATTTGTATATAAACAATGTCTTGATAAATAGAAAAGAACTAGCTTGTCGGATTGTTTTTACATTACAATATTTCATATGTACTCGACATATACATATATGCCTGTATTAAAAATGAATTCAGAGCAAACATGCAATTTTTCATACAAATGGAAATAAAGAAAATCACTAAAATTTTAAAGCCTCGTAAAATATTCCTATTTGTTTTTAAGAATTTAATATATTGCAACGTAATAATGCTGAGCTAAAACGTGTTTACACATTTTATTGTACGTTTTGTATTTCTACATTTAAATATGAAGTCGGTAAGTTACGTTTTAGCAATAAACATAAGAAATATTTTTTGTTTTGATGTCATGAGAAATAAAGTCATGTCCTAAAATTTGAAAATTCAAATTCTGTCGTCAGTTATGGACGAAACAAATATAAACAAATCATTTATTTTATGTTTATCAATATTGAGAACGACATTTTTATTTAGTGTTTGATTGTGGGAGTAAAGTGCTATTTTTAATTGTGTACTGTTCGGTATTGTAATGAAATGTAACGATAAAATTTAACGTTACAATAGATATCCGTAACATGCGCGTAATATTTTGTTTCTATTTTGTACATGCAGTTTACACATATATACATTCTCGTCTGGGGTAGGCAGAGACGATAGAACGTCAACTTATGTTATTATACGTTGAACCAGCCTTTTATACACGAAAAATTGTCTTAGATTCAGCTAGTGAGCTGTTTTTTTTATAGTACTAAGCAGCATAGGGTTATTTTATCAAAAACACTTTGATAACTAATATGCCCGATTGAAAAGAATGAAAGTAAACCGCATGCCTGCTGTGAAACAATTTGTTTAAAATGAATGATATATGTCATGTCGTTCATTTTAATATAATAATAATATAATAATCTTGGTGTTTTAATAAATAGCAAGCGCTGCACTTACAAAGAGAGCATTTTATATAAATTACACTTTATTTACATAGAAAGCTTAATTCCTTTGTAAATCACGTCAGTGTGTCTTACTGGGTCTAAATTTAGTTTGTTTCAATAATTATAGAAGTCTTGATTGCAGACTTACTTTTGCGGCTTTATTCTGTGTATGTACGAGTAGATCTAGGGATGTCGGTAGGACATGACCAATATTGGTAGACGTATGGAAAAAACAAATAAAACAGTGTAGGGTAATATATATAGTATAAAATAAATAAATTATTACTCATCACATTCACATAAAGAATCATTTAAATTATTTTTTTCAGATTCCGATAATAGTCGCTCTGAGTATGCTGATATTTTATGAGAGCCAATCAGTTCGACTACACAAGATCTTCCAATTCATAGATGGGTATAAGGCAGAACACAACTTAAAAGGATTTCTTCACGTTGGCTTTGATTATGCAGTATTTATAAGAACGCCAAGACCACACGATAAATACATTGTGTACGAATTGTATGAAGCTAGAAATGTTCCTGACAGTGAAGTATATAAACCGCAAATGCTTGCGATAGCTGAAGTACCAATAGATTACTTAAGGGAACAGCTAACCATTTTTAGAAATGAGCTTTACAAGGCCAAATATGTGGATGATAATGTGATACCTGGGACCCAGGTCAAAACGTTGCGAGAGTGGCAACTAGACAGAGCACTGACTTTCCATGACGGCCCTAAACCATTCTATAACAGAGTACCCATGTTAAGATCAGTATTATAAACAGATACATTTTAAATATATAAAAGCCCTGAATAAAATATTTAAACAATTAGCTGGGTTAATGTCCTGAATCATAACAATAAGGTTTTTCATCCACACAGCTGCGATTTGTGTAATGTTGATTTCAAATAATTACACGCATTACCTATTACATTTTTAAGATTTATTGTTCCAAAAGAGTCATTTCGTTAGAATCTTACTTATTTGATTTGACTTAAATGATCATTCATTTGATTCCGTTAGTTTAGAAGATATTTTTTACGATTTTACAGTGGAAAAATAAATTTTCTTTCATGTTATTATTAATTTGAAATCTCTTTTTTTATATGAACAATGTCTTGATAACTAGACAGATTTGGCTTGTCGGATTACTTTTACGTACCAATATTTCATATGTACTCGTCATATATATGCCTGTATTAAAAATTAATTCAGAGCAAACACGCAATTTTTCATACAAATGGAAATAAAAAAATACTAAAATTTAGAGACTCGTAAAATATTCCTATTTGTTTTTAAGAATAACGCTGAGCTAAAACATGTTTGAACATTTTATTGTACGTTTTGTATTTCTACATTTAAATATGAAGTCGGTAAGTTACGTTTTAGCAACCTATTACATTTTTAAGATTTGTTGTTTCAAAAAAGTCATTTCATTTTTTTTTTATCAAAAAATCTATCAAAGAATTATATTCGTGTTTAAACACGTATCAAGTATGTTGCACTATAGTGCTGGTACTCAGAGTCTAAGTAGAGTCAGAGACTAATGAATAATAATGTACTTCTTTTTTATTAGTCTTAGAACCTCTGTGCCTATTAAGTATCTGCTGAACTTAAAAGAGCTTACTAAGCATAAGATAAATTCTATAGTAGGTTAAAAAATCTAGGTAATCAGGGTTGCACGAGATTCTTAGAATTAACATTTGAACGAAAAAAGAGGTCACTGCTAGGTAAATCCAGAAATATTCATTTTTACGTTTTGTGACAAAGTGTACATTTTCTGCCCCTTGAAAATTACATAAATTGTTATATGAACACCCTATATAATATGAGTTTGCAACTTTGTCTCGCAAATTTACTAAGTGTACCGGGTTTATGTACTACAGAGTTAGTAATCCTTAAAACGGAATGCAAACAGGATAGAGTTACGCTTAAAACTAAGCTTCCTTACGTACGGTACGATACATCATTTACTGTGAACTAAGCGTAACATGTATAATATAAAAAAATTACAGCCTTAATTGGACCAGAAATGGTTTACACTAAATCTGAGCAACTTCTTTTAGCCTTTCATTTAGAAAGCATCCATAATAACAATAAAAATTTCAGTATTTAATAATACGTAGTATATAGTAATATAAAAATATTAATGCAGGCAAAATCCTTATATTCAACTACCGCATAAATTTTATCTACATTTACACTACACTTGTATCCTCTTTCAAAAGGTTATATTCTCCTTATCGGAACAGTTTTGATGAATAATTCTTAATATTCACTAGTTGAAGCTCATTGACAGTCATCAATCATCTGAATGGTTACAGGCAGCTCGCTGTGCTAAGAAATTCTTATTTGTAACTATGAGTTCTCACAGAATGCGCTTCGGGTGCGAGGTCACAGGCGATTTTACGATTTTAGCGACTACTTAAACTATAATCCGTAATAAGATTACGTTAGAACTTGTGCTCACCCTACGATGACGTGTCCACGGTCCGGCCATCGCAGTGGTGGCTCCACTGTGACGGCCGGACCGTGGACACGCCGCTCCACACGCGAAAGCCTGGCGTGGGTGCAGCAGGGGCGTTGCCTCATTATGCGACGTCATCACGGCGAGAGTGCGTCGCCGTCGTCCGCCGTCTCCTTCTGCGAGCAAGTTATGCTTGCAAAGGATATGGTGGAGCAGGACCGGCAGAGGTTCTAAACCCTCCCGGCCCGGAGCCGAAGCAGAAGCAGGCCAGTGTGGAGCGCGCTCGCCCCTTTTGGGAGCAAAGGGTACACCTTTAAAAGGGTACACCTGGTTCCCCAGCAACTGGTACCCGAGACAGCGTGCGGATTTTGGTCGGTTCGAGTCCGACATAACCACCTGTGGGTGGGGATTCACGCACCGAAAAAAAAAGGGTAGCCATGACAAAGCGAAAACATATAATACAAAATTGGGTATTTTTTATGTGATTAATTTATAAGTGGTGCCAGTAGTCTTCAACGAATCCTAAGATATCCTGTATGAAAAAACCTACGATAAATAAAATAATCGGAAAATTATCCTCTTCCAAGAAAAATGTCGTTGTGTTTCGATATACGATTTTTATAACAAGTGGGTGAGACAGTGTTAAGATTTTATAAAGATCCTGTCTGATTACATTATTTACATTTAAAAGAGTATGGGTATGAGCAGTTTACAATAAATTAGGATGTGGAGCCTTAAATTTTACATATTCCTTGAGAAATGCTTCATAAATACTCAGTCTTAGGCCAAAAATATATATTAAATTATTATATAGTACCTTAGTAAGAGTCGGGCTTTCATTATCACATAATTTATTGCTTTTACGCGGTGCGGAAAGGGTTCATTACCCACGACGTCACAGTAAGGAAAAGTATCGAAGCGATTGTATTTTTTCTCATTCAGATGTACGGCAAACAATAGTATAATGCCAGGAATGGGATCCCAACATTTTGCTTTCACTGAATAATGCGTTAGTTTTTGCTCCCAGGAGATCAATAGAATAAGCAATTTTGAATAGCTGCCAAATCTATCGCCCTGTTTGGAGTAAAATAGAAAACTTTAATGTGAAAAGTTTGTAAGGTACAATCTTCTAAGAATTTGTAGCTGAATGTAATTAAATATCAAACCTCTTTATCTTTGTCAGTCACGATGTATAATTATTTATGGATATATTTTTATATTCAGTGAAAATAAAATAATAAAATTGACATATGCATTGCAAGACACATCAGCATTGCACGGATGGCGTAGTGGTTTAAGTGGTCGCCACGCCGCTTCACTACGCTGAGTGTTGTGTGATCGATCCTCACCTGGGTTCAATTTGTAGGTCACACTTTGTGTGACTTTGTGTCGTTCAAAGTCTGGGTATCATTTGTGACCGTTTCATGTATGTTTGTAAAGTATATATTCCTAGTGTAACCTAACAGACATGTTAAAAACAAGAATTATTTTCGTCTAAAAAGGGCAATTGTTTCTACATGTCGAAGGTCAAGATTCTAGCTTGGTTAGATAGAATAATTGTTATAGAGAGTCAGAGAAATGTGAAAAAGTAAAGAGATAGAAGTATAGCTAATGATTTTCCTCCACCTGTTTTACGTTTTACGTCAGTGTAGAATTTCGGTCAGGTTTCACCTAATTAGTAATCGGGTAATCTTCATTATATTTGGCTATTGATTTTATCAATTAAATTTTTATAATAATCTTTTTATTTCGATTATACTTGTCTTGCAAATAACGTTCGGGGATCAATTCGTAAGTTATGAACTCTTGGCGGCTCGGTTAGGAATAAACAAAAATCGCATATTAGACTAGAATGCCTCTAAATTCTCGACCTTTCACAACTTAATTCAAATGAAATAAATGAACACTTACCAAAATGAAGTGTTGTCAAGAGCAATAAACGTAACAGATCTGGCTATAAATTTCTTTAATGGTGTTGCGATGACATATTGCTTGGCTTTTGAAGGAATTTCGAATATTCCCATGCTGAAAAATTATGTTGATGATTTTCAACTCAGTGTATTTGTACTGTAAAATATTCCAAATAGCTAAAAATAATTCTCTCCAAATTTGATTAAAAGCATTCAGTAGACAATGCTTAAAGAAATCGTCTTTTCTGTCATATTATATCAATCATCTTGATTTACCCTCAATAAAAACAAATGCACCTGATATTCGCATTTCAATACGTTTAAGTGTGTAAACACGAGGGTATGGTTATGTTATCCCTGACTTAAGGCAATACATAAAATACACAAACTTACACACACACAAGCGAATGGTATTTACGCATTTAATTCATTGTTTAATTCTTTTTTCACGGCTTTCGCTACACACGTTACACATTGTTATGTAATATTACGTTAGAATGTAGTAGTAGTTAGTAGAATCTACAAAACTTCAAAATTATGGATGTTGACATTGTTTGAATTAATATTCAAAACGAATGCACCTGATATTCGCATTTTAATACTTTTAAGTGTATAAACACAAGGGTATGGTTATTATTATTCATCCCGTGGGTGTCGTAAGAGCCCTGCAAAGAGAAGAAAACTTGAAACAAACCCTATATCAACCCGTCTGGCCAGCGTGGTATAGTAGGCCGAAACCTCCTTTCTAAGGAGAGGCCTATGTCCAACAGTGGACTGTCATAGGTTGTTGATGAACTAATCAGGTACTGCACAACTCTACAACTGACTATTAAATGTTAATTTGAAACTGTATAATGTCAAAGTGCACTCAAAACATATTTAGAGTTTTCCAAGTGAAGCAAAATCAAAAAGTCGATAAATCTGACTAACTCGATAAGGTATTTCATATAGATTTTCATACTATACAGGAAGAATCATAAACAAAAAGTCAGGGCAGCGCTATCACAACACAAAAACAGCTTTTGAAGTCCGCAATAAATATCACTTCCCACTTAGAATTGCAGACAAATGCCTAAAAATTTATGCTAATAGCTTGCTATTTATTTAAGCTCCCATTTCATCGTTACAATGGTTTTATACGGTGACTTAAAATGTACAGATTTAATTAAAAAAACTGATTCAGTTTTAACTTACCTTTTGTATATCAAAATTTTATAAATAACATAATGGCAGATAGTCTAAATTATGTTAATTTTCTAGCGACATGACGTGTTAGTGTAGACGATGATAAACTTCTAACACTTATCATATAGTATTTTGTTATTACTAATTTATAAACTATCTCTATTTATATCTATCTCTATATATATATGTTGTTATTTCGAGAGTCGTAAATTAATAAT